GAGGTCCTTTCTGAAGGGATACAACAATCTGCATCCCCCAGTTCGCCCTCCGACTCCTGGTTGGAACCTTGACCTCGTGCTCTCCCGGCTGGTATTATCACCATTCGAGCCCCTAGCGACTGTCGACCTTCGCCTACTCTCATGGAAAGTGGTGTTTCTGATGGCAATCACTTCAGCCCATAGGCAATCTGAGTTGGCGGCGTTGAGGGTCGACGAGCCATATTTGCTTTTTCATGCAGACAGAGCAGTTCTCTGCATGAACATTTCTTTTTTGCCAAAGATTGTTTCCCCCTTCCATGTTAACGAGGACATTGTCCTACCTTCCTTTTTTTTCAATCTCCCTCCACTTCGACAGAGAAATGACTGCACCTCCTTGATTTGCGGAGGGCCTTGTTGTTTTACAAGGACAGGAATTCTCAGTCTCGAAGGACTCAGAGACTCTTTGTTTCATATGCTGGGCCTGCCAGAGTCCTCACAGCGCTTGTCCCGCTGGATTGCATCGACCATTGAACTGTGTTACCAACTGGCCCGTTGTCAGCCCCCACCGGTCATTTGGGCTCAATCGACCAGGGCAATGGCCACTTCAACCGCCTTCTTGAAGGGGATTCCCTTGGACTCTATTTGCAAGGCGGCCATTTGGGCGAACGCTTTGACTTTTGTTTCGCATTATAGACTGGACACTAGGCATAGGTCTGACATGGCTTTCGGTAGGGCAGTCTTGACTTCCTGCCCTCCCTAACCTCAATACTGTGTGCCTCGATACTGATGTCAAATGCCTATATTGTACCTGCTTTCTCAGTTCGTTTGTGTTTTTTGATGCTATGGTTTCCATACTTTATTGTTTCATCACTTTACGTTTATGATGATGAATTGTCCTATAAATCAAGGGATACTATGTGATTCTTTCGATCCACTGCCTACTCAAGTGTAGGCTGTACACCAGGCTGGTGTTTCTATGTGTTCATTGTGCATGCTCAATGCCGTCGCTGTTTGTGCTTGGGATTGTTGCCGTTCTTGAGGCTTTTGTGACCTCGTTACCGTGAATTCACTGTAGCGTTTCATTCTCATGCAACCATTATGTCTGTGCCCTCATATGAATGTGTTTATACTGTGATAACGTCCTCTTTTGGCCAAAGAAGGATCATGCACTCCTGTGTTATGGACGTTTTGTCCTTTTTTTATGTGATACTATTTTGATACTTCAATAAATTTGTTTAGTCCATCATAAAGGGATCGGTTTGTTCTTCCCACCTCCGGGACCTCAGCTTAATAGTCGCCACATGTGTGCATTCACAGAGACCACAAAGAAAAATGGTAGATTGCTTACCTGTGACCATCTTTCTTCGAGTGGTGCTCTGTGAATTCACACAAACCTGCCCAGCCTCCCCTCTAACAAACCTCCGCCTTTCTCACTGCCTTGCAGCGCAGGAACTGCGGAGCGTGCGCACGGGGCGCCTTTTATGCCCTGCCAGGGACTGGGTGGGGTTACCACCAAAATTTGAAAAGTTTAAACTAGAGAGGTTTCTGTTGGTGCCGGCGCAGGCGCAGACACTCCACATGTGTGAATTCACAGAGCACCACTCGAAGAAAGATGGTCACAGGTATGCAACCTACCGTTTTTGGGAGTGGAGGTAGATGTGTTTGATAACATAACCATGAAAAGATTATGATGAGATAATTCAAAATCAATTTTACAACTTATGGCACAATTAACTCATTTGTCCCATCAGAGCTCCGCCTAGTAAATGGCCCCTATCGCTGCTCCGGGTATCTTGAGGTGCTACACGACCAACAGTGGGGGACTGTGTGTGACAGTGGCTGGCATACCCGTGATGCTCAAGTTGTGTGCCGGGAACTGAATTGTGGAGATGCCTCAACAGCATTTGGGGGAGTTCGCT